ATCTTACCTGCAACCACTGAAATTTAATTGCTAGAGAAAAAGTTCCGACCAATTCTACCACGATACATTCATTGATGTAAAACATTTATTAAACAAATACTAACTATCTGGATCTTTGTCAGAGTCAGGTTAATAATATATCTATGTTTTCAATATGCTAGGTAATGGTGAGGGTGGGGAAATAGATTTGAAACTCTACAGGTATTAATAGAATTTTAAAGCACCACAGAAGGAGTACCTACACTTTCTGAGATGATATTCATTTTGATTCTTTTACGTTCTGGATGAATGAGACAATACGCTAAGCATGGTTCTGGAAGGAGTAGGTAGAATGGGACTGATAGGCAAAGCAGAAGAAATAGAATAGAAAAAGCTTAGAGTCAAAAAAAGGCAGACCCCACATTCAGAGTATTATTTAGTGTTGTGAAAATACGACATCAATTTAATCTTAATTTACTCACTGTGATATACGTGGTATTATTTTCTACCAATAGTTACTGAGCACTTATGATGTGTCAGCTTCATATGGATGGATATATGTTCTCCTGACATGAAATACATTTATAGATGAAAGAATTAAGGTATAAAGAGGGCAAAGGTTTGTATGGTGTTACACAGCTACAATGGTGAAGTGAGAAATTAAAACTAGGTAGTCTGACTCTAGAGATGAAATAAGAATTTCCCTTGCAATGCCAATTATCATCTCATACCATATAACACAAGTGTCTACAAAGCTATCCCTGAGTCACGTACAAGATAGAGAGTCTGGATATCTAACAAAGACACTCATGCAGATCACCAGTACTTCTTGTTCAGGCAGACAATCTTTCATAAACATTCTAACTCCTTCCTGAAAGATTCCTACTCTCTCCCAAATGTAGACTTGCCTTTTCTTTAGCAAGATTAGGATATCTATATCGGCTTCCTACTGGTAAGAGTGAGAAGTAAAAAGGTTTTTACAAACTCTAGGTTTGTAGAGCAGCTAGGTCACTCAACATTAAATAGAGCACATAAGCGAATATTCCTATCATGCCTAAAGAGAAGAAAATTAATTAGGCTTCATAAATGTGAAATTAAAAGATACCTTCAGTCCCTCCAATTCATTTTCCAGTTGCTTGGAATAGTGCTCACTCTGTTCACGCAGTTTCCGATCTTTAGAGGCTTCAGCAGCTAAAGCTTCTGTATGAACTTCCAGCTTTAAAATAAAATGAAAAAAGCATATTTCATGGTTATAATTTTTTCCAACTAAATCCTTACAAATTTACCTTATAATAGGGAGATAACCTGAATAATGAAATTCACAGTAAATATTATCAAACAAAAACCTTAAAAAATTAAATAAAAAGTTACATATTATTCAACTAGTCTCAAAAAGCAGCTTTCATCACTATCCCATGGGCACTATAAAATTTGCCTGACTACTAACCTCTTTTTTGGCTCTTTCTGTTCTGCGCAGTTCTTGCCTTAAGCTTTCAACTTTTTGCATCACCAGGTCCACCTCTTCTTCCTTATCTCGGACATGGCGAGCAAGTTTCTGCTTTTGGGTGTGCAATTCTGTTAGTCGCTCATTGATCTCCATGAATTCCTGCATGGCCAGTTTCCTCTGACAGTGTGCGTCTTTCAGCTCTTTGGATTGGTTTTTTAATCGCTCACTAGCCTGGACTAGTTCCTACAGTTTTATAAAAAGAATATAAGTTACCATTTCTGCATCTAGAGACCAAATATGGCCACCAAAGTCAAGAAGAGCCAAAATTATTCACTTCAGGACAAAATTAAAAGAAATGAACTACTTCTGAACAGATATTAAGAGCACGGCATCCTGCTTGTGGTCTGAATTCCTAGGCTAATAAGGTAAATGCAATGAGACGCTGGTACAACTTTATAAGACCTTAGTTTCCGTAAATGAGTAAAGAATGTAGGAATATAAGACATGATGGTCAAAATAAAGATTTCTGTGAAATTTAATAAATATTTGTGAGTTTTTTTAAACATTAAAAGACTAAAAATGACTACAAACACAAAACAAAACAAAACAAAACAAACGTGGGTTGCAGGGTTGCCCCTGATTTGAAGACTAAGCCTTAAGCCAGAAGCTCGGAGAAAAGAAACAAATCCGAAACTCTCTGCTTAGAGTGAGAAACGTAGAGAGTGGCTAAAGTGGGCAGGTCAGTAAGGCTACCTGCCTCTAAGCAAAAGGAAATGCAACTCTTCTTATGGGAAAAAAACCCAATGAAACCTGAATTTTTCACATAATAAAAGCAAATGGCTCACAACCATAGATTTCCAAATACCCAGAGAACCATCACCAAACAACAGTAAATAAAACCAGAAACAAAAAATAAAAATAATCACCAAAGGTATCTGAGTATGAGAATCCTTAGATAGTGACATCAAATTGCTACATATGAAAAGTATGAAAAAACATAAAAGGAAATCATAAAAATGGGAATATGCAGAAAGACCAAAAAAGAACATGCAGATTTATAGAACTTTAATAGAACATTTAGAAATAAAAACAAAATGCCTTAAAACTAAAGACCTGAATCTATTAATTTAGGAGGTTCTCCATATTTATGAAGCAAAAAAAACAAAGAAAAAAAATCCCACAAAACTCAGAAATGCTCAAGAATGACACTGGGTAACACCAAAGGGGTGGGGGGAAGGAAATCAGAAGGGGAAAAAAACGCAAATCACCTATTCTCCATCTTGAAAATTAAAAAGGAAAAATAAAAATACAGTAGAATCTCTGTAAGCTGACTACTCAACAGACTGTAACCAACTGGTTAACAAACGGAGGTGGTTAACACCTTTAAGGTAGCTTCAAAATATATTAAAAAGATATCGCTAGAACTTCAGAAAACAATTTGTAAATACATAACCATAATGAAAAATTTTAATTTTCTTAATCATTGATAGATAAATCAATAAGATTTAAAAAATTGTTGAATATAAAGAAGATTTGAAAAGCTCGATTAACAAGCTAGGCCATGAAACAAGTCTCAGAAGATCTCAAAGAGCCAGGTCTTTAATAATACTGCCATTAAATTAGAAATCAACAGAAAGATAAAACTCCATACACTGAAAATTTAAAAACATACTATAGATAACCTGGTCAATGAGAAAAACCATAAAGGATATTAAAATATTTTAATAAAAAATTAAAAATACAAAAATAAAATGCTTAGTATATACTAAAATTTGGAAATGCAGTAAAAGCTGTGCTTAGGGGGAAACAGAAAGCCTGAAATACTTATATAGAAAAGACAAAAATGATTTTGGGGTACAGTGGTTCATGCCTATAATCCCAGCACTTTGGAAAGCCAAGATGGGAGGATCACTTGAAGTCAGGAATTCAAGACCAGCTTGGGCAACATAACAAGACCCCTCTCTACAAAATTAAAAAATTAGCTGGTCATGGTGATCCCAATTACTTAGGAGGCTGAGACAGGAGGGTCATCTGAGCCCAGGAGTTCAAGGCTGCAATGAGCTATGATTGGGCCGCTGCATGTCAGCCGAGGTCACAGAGCAAGACTTGGTCATTAAAAAAGAAGAGGTGGGGGAGTTGAAATTTAATGAGACCGAAGTTCATTGAGCAGCAGAGACAGAACAACACTATCCTCCCCTATAATATAAAGAAGAAGATACTAAAGATAACAGCAAAACCCAATAAAATAGAAATGAAATAATGATGATCAACAAAGGCAAAAGTTGGCTCTTTGAGAAAATAAAAGACATCTAGTGAGATGAACCAAGGGAACAAACATGAAAGTACAGAGAAATTAAGAAAAACAGACCCTAAAAATAAATCTAGAGTTGACAAAAAAATGAGAAAATACAATGAAGAACTCTACATCAATAAATTTGTTAACTTATGAAATGAACAAATGCCTATAAAAATACAATGTACCAAAATTATTTTAAGAAGAAACAGAATACCTAAATAGCCCTCTAACAAAGTAACTAAATTAATAGTTAATATCTACCCATCTTCCTAGTGGTGGGGAAAACCTGCAGACCCAAATACGTTTTACCCACTATTTTTTCACTCAGTGTTTTTAGGAACAGAGCATTTGTCTTACACACTCTCTTCAAGAGATAGAAGCAGCAGAAAGGTGAGAAAGTGAGGCTCTGTCTCAAATAAATAAATAACGTATACAATACGATAGGAATGGTCTTATTTTTGTTATTTCTTTTGAGATAGATTCTCACTGTGTCGCCCTGGGTAGAGTGCTGTGGTGGTGTCACAGCTCACAGCAACCTCAAACTCTTGAGCTCAAGCGGTTCTCTGGCCTCAGCCTCACAAGTAGCTGGGACTACAGGTACCCACCACAACACCTGGCTATTTTCAGAGATGGGATTTTGCTCTTGCTAAGGCTGGTTTTGAACCCATGAACTCAGGCAATCCACCTGCATTGGCCTCCCAGAGTGCTAGGATTATAGGCGTAAACCACTGCGCCCAGTAATAGTGTAATACATTTTAAAAAGACAAATGACACCTCTATGAAATTTTAGGGAAGAACATTTTAGAAGAACTTTAAATATACAGAGATATACTGTGTTTGTGGATAAAAGACTATGGGGCTACAGAGAAACTATTTTTATGTTTTGCAGTTAGATCCTTACAAACAAATTGCACTGACACTTAGGCTAAATGGAAGTATTGCAAAGTGATTTGTGACTAATTTGGACAGTAAAAAAAAACAAAGATATTTACCTTGCTCACATTTTACATTTCAAGGTGGAACTGAAGAGAAATTAAGAGCTTAGACCAAAGGGATTTCTGTCCAAGCAGGAGACTGAGCATAGCTTTCTACTGAAGTGATTCATTTAAATTTCAAAGGTTTAGAGAAAGAACTTAAGATCCTTCTTTTTAGATTTCCAAGGAGACTCAGATAATGGGGAAAGCAGAAGCATTTGCCTCTATACATATAAACACTTGGATAACTCCCCCCTCCCCAGTTCTTGTTTACAATACAAACTCTTTACTTGTAGGGTTTTATCTACCCAGCTCTCAGTGATTCACCTTGGAGCTAAGAATTAGTACACAGAGACGCTATCTCACTATTATTTGCTGTGTGTAATAAAAATAATTTGCTCTATTCTTGAAATCTATATGTTCAGAATAAGAAAATGGACAGTAAGAACTTAAAAGACTCAATATTATAAAGATGTCAATTACCCCAATATTAATCCATAGAGTCAAGGTAATTTCAACCAAAATTCCATCATAGTTTTCAAGGAAGAGATGCAGACACATGAGTATATGGAAATTTGAGAAATAAAAGAAGTGACACTGCCCATCACTGGGGAAAGTAGGGCTTATTTAGTAAATGAACAACTAGTAAGCCTCATGGGAAAAAAGTGGAATTGGATCCTTATCTCACATGATACACAAACACGAATTTCTGGTGAATTAAATACATAAATATAAAAATCAAACTTTAACACTTCGGGATAAAAATTTAGGAGTATTTTTTGTTATCGCAGAGTTCTTACACAAGCTAGCAAATGCACTAACCATAAAAATACAAAGTTGATTACATTAAGCCTAAGAACTTTTGTTCATCAAGATTCCATAAAGTATTAATAAAGAAAAGCCATTGAGAGTTAGGTGTAACATACATTACTAACAAAAAGATTAGAACATCCAAAATTTTTCAAGAATTCTTACAAATCAATAAGAAAAAGACAAACAACATAATAGAACAATGTAGAAGGCTATTAAGTGGTATTTCAAAGAAAAAGAAATATATATGGTAAATATACATATGTAGAGATACTTGACTTCATTAGTAATTAGGGAAATGCAAATTAAGATCACAATAAAACTTCCTTTTAGAGCTAAAAATCTCAATTTAGACTAGATTGGCCAAAACTAATGAATCAGGTAATATGAAATATTGTTGAATAAATTGGTACACTTTATATTTGGAAAATGATTTGGCATTATCATAAAAAATTGGAATATTTGCTAGCCCAATTTAAAAATGGGAAAAGGACCTTAATGGACTTTTCTCTAATTCATTCTACAAATGGCCAGTAGGTGTATGAAAAGGTGCTCAACATCACTAATCATCAGCGAAGTGAAAATCAAAAACCGCACTGAGATGTCACCTCCTACATATCAGAACGGCTACGATAAAAAAAGACAAATGGTAACAAGTGTTGGTGAAGAACGTGGAGAAAAGAGACTCCCTTTCTACTGCCTATGTGATATTAAACAAATCACAGTTCTTTGCTGGTATGATCTGTTTGTTTACAGCACTACTGTCTTCTCAAAATTTATGAAAAAGATTTTTA